GAGAGCGTGGCCTTTCCCAAGGTTTTCCCCCCCAAAAAAGTAGCTGGAGGAGCCAAATCGGGCCACAAAGCGAGTGATTACAGCCGCAAAAATGCCTTTTTTTAACAGCTCCGGGGATTCCCTGTGCCCGGACGGGAGCGATCCGGGCAAACCCTCCTCTCCGCTTGTTTACCCGGGAGTTATCCGGTGTCCCGGGCAAACGGGAGCTTCGTGGGTCCATCCGCCTGGAAAACGGTTCCTAGATGCAGTTTTATATGGAAAAGCGGCGCTTGGCATAAAGAAACCAGGGAAAAATTACAGAAACCGGGAAGCTCCCGGCGCATCCCATGGGTGTTTTGTCCCGGTTGGGATAAAATTCCCCAAAACGGCGGCGAGCGCCCTGCTCCGGTGGGAAGCGGCGTCGGAATAACCCATGGATTTGTGCTGATTCCGGCAATCCCGGTGCTCGGGGGGCCCCGTCTGGTCTCAAAACGGCCGTTTTGGGGGATTTGGGGATGTTTGAGGAAAGGTGGGAATCGCCCCTTCCCCTCCGGGTGTTTTGGGTGTTTTTGTGCCCTCCGAAGGTGCCGGAGCGTCGCCCCGGGATGTCGGGAACGTTTCCATGTCACTTTGCGCTGGCGTCACCCTCGGCACGAGGCCTCCGGAGCCGGAAAACCCGATATTCCCGATTCCCCGCTGAAAAACAGCCGGGAAGGGGGTGATCCGGGGTCTGAAGGCTTTGGGAAAGAGGCTGGGAATAAACCCGGGAGGCAGCAGGTGGAAGCCGCTTGTGTCCGGAGCCGACGCTCCGCAATCCCTCATTTCCCACAGGGATTTCCTCCCCGGATCCTGCTCTTCTCCGGGATCCCTGCGGATCCGGGCTCTTTTTGGGCTCCTAGAGCAGCAAATCCCCCCTTGCCGTGTCCTGATCCGTGAGGTTGGCGCGCGGCGGCTTTCGAGGGCTATTCGGGAACGTCGCCGGAGCCTTCCCGGGATCGAGGGCGCCGGGAGCTGCCCCGTTCCTGTAAGACGGAGCTCGACGTGTCGGAACCAGCCCCGGGATTTCCTTGGAAACAACCGCCCTGCGCTGGAGCGCTCGGGAGCCGCGAGCCCCTTTTCCGCTTGTTTTCCAGCCCAAAATGTGACGGTGGAGGAGATCGTGGCCGCCTACAAACAGGCCTGCCAGAAGCTCAACTGCAAGCAGAGCCCCAAGCTCCTCAAGCAGATCCAGGTGGGGCTCCCGGGAAGCGGATCCGATCGGTTATCCCGTATTCCCGTTAAAATTATCCCCCCGTTCCTTGCGGGATAATTCCAGCGGTTTTTCCTGGCGGTTAAGCCGGAACAAGGACTCGGTTCGGCTCGGCGCTGCTGCAGAGCGCCGGCGGGATTTATTCCCGGGATATCGTCCGGAATTCCATACGGGCCCTGCTCCCCCTTCCCCGGGGGCTCTCGTGGTTTCCAGCTGCGTCTCCTCCCGCGGCTCCGCTCTTCTCCCGGGATAATTACAGCCCTGTGGGCGCCTTCCACGGGCTCCGTTCTCACTTCCCCCTCCTGGATTCGTAATCCTGAAAATGAGACCAAAACGGCTCTGTTTTTCCAGCAGTTTTCGCTTCCCGTAGCGTTGGGGAGGAGGGGAAGCAGGGGCCGTTTTTGCAGCGTTTTGTGGTTTCGGGGAAGGATTTGCCCGTTTGTCACCTCTTCCCAGTTCCCGGCAATGAAATGCTGTTTTTTTTTTTCCCCTCCCCGAACAGGAATTCAAGGATTTGGCTCCCAGGATAGACTGCCTGGATCTGAAAGGTGAGTCCCCTCCTCCTCGGCTCCGCTCCGTGGGCGATCCCGGCGTTTTCCTCCGTTCGCGCTGCCTGTTCCCGGCCCCCGGAGCGCCCGCCGTTGCGGTTAAGGTTAATTGGAGCCTCCCACGGAGCCGCGGGCGCCGCGGGGACATTCACGAAGCC